ATAGATCGTCGGAACTTTGAGATATCTTCGTTAGTCTGATAGATTATAGCTGGTCTAATAGATCATGGATATTTTGATAGATTCTCGTTAGACTTTTAGGTCTGATAGATCCTTGTTAGTTTGAGAGATCCTCGATAGTCTGTTAGATCCTTGTTAGTTTGAGAGATCCCCGATAGTCTGATAGATTCTTGTTAGTATGATAGATTATCGTTAGTCTTATATATTTCTTGTATGTCTGATAGATCTACGTTTTTCTGATAGATCCTCGGTAGCATGATAGATCCTCTTTAGTCTGATAGATTCTTGTAAGTCTGATAGATTATCGTCAGTCTTATATATTTCTTGTATGTCTGATAGATCTACGTTAGTCTGATAGATCCTCGTTAGCAAGATAGATCTTCTATAGTCTGATAGATCTTTGTTAGTCTGATATATTCTCGTTAGTCTGATAGGTCTTTTAGGTCTGATAGATCCTCGTTAAGCTGTTAGATTCTCGTTAATCTGATAGATCTTTGTTAGTCAAATGGATCCTTGTTGGTATGATAGATTATCGTTAGCCTGGTAATTCTCATTGGTCTGATAAACCATCGTTAGTCTGTTAGATCTTTGTTGGTTTGAGAGATCCTTTTTAGTCTGATAGATCCTTGTTAGTTTGAGAGATCCTCGATAATCTGATAGATCCTTGTTAGTTTGAGAGATCCTCGATAGTCTGATAGAACCTTGTTAGTTTGAGAGATCCTCGTTAGTCTATTAGATCCTTGTTAGTTTAAGAGATCCTCGATAATCTGATAGATCCTTGTTAGTTTGAGAGATCCTCGATAGTCTGATAGATCCTTGTTAGTTTGAGAGATCCTTGTTTGATAGATCCTCGTTAGTCTGATAGATTATCGTTAGTCCTATATATTTCTTGTATGTCTGATAGATCTTCCTTACTCTAGTAGGTCTTCGCTAGTCTGATATGGTTTTGTTAGTCTTTTATGTTCCAATTGATCTAATAGATCCTCGTTATTCTGATATATATGCATTAGTCTGAAAGACCGCGTTAGTCTGATAGATCCTCGTTGTTCTGATAGATATGCATTAGTCTGAAAGACCTCGTCAGTCTGATAGATCCTCGTTATTCTGATAGATATGCATTAGTCTGAAAGACCGCGTTAGTCTGATAGATCCTCGTTATTCTGAGAGATATGCATTAGCCTGAAAGACCTCGTCAGTCTGAGAGATCCTCTTAAGTCAGATAGATATGCATTAGCCTCAAATACTAACGATGAGTCTCATACATCCTCGTTGTTCAGATAGAGAGTCTGATAGAACCTCATTAGTCCGGAGTGTATGAATTAAATCGCTTTACAGGTCTGATAAATCACTCTTGGGGCATACAACCTGTGTTCTTGAAACAGTATTACCTTTCGCCCTACTGAACACGTGACTTTCACCACTACTACTACTACTACTACTACTACTACTACTACAACTACTACTACTACTACGACTACGACTACTACTACTACTACCACTACTACTACAACCACTACTACTACTACCACTACTACTACTACTACTACTACTACTACTACTACTACTACTACCACTACTACTACTACTACTACCACTACTACTACAACCACTACTACTACTACCACTACTACTACTACTACCACTACTACAACTACTACTACTACCACTACTACTACTACTACTACTACTACTACTACCACTACTACTACTACTACTACTACCACTACTACTACAACCACTACTACTACTACTACTACTACCACTACTACTACTACTACTACCACTACTACTACAACCACTACTACTACTACTACTACTACCACTACTACTACTACTACTACTACCACTACTACCACTACTACTACAACTACTACCACTACTACTACAACCACTACTACTGCTACCACTACTACTACTACCACTACTGCTACCACTACCACTACCACTACCACAAGATGTATATGTCGCTCAACTCCACATCGATAACATGCACATGGCCCATACAATCTTAGTTATGAGTCAGATTACAATGATAAATCTTCTGGAAGATTGTTCCACTTCATGGCTGCTGTTAGGCTGAAATATCGCAGGTCGTCAAGGAGATGCTTATATCCGGAACTAAACACCCTGGTGGGACAGTATACAGTGAACAGAGCCGTGCACACACTGAAACGCCAAGGACAGAATACAGTGAACAGAGCCGTGCACACACTGATACGCCAGGGACAGTATACAATGAACAGAGCCGTGCACACACTGATACGCCAGGGACAGTATACAATGAACAGAGCCGTGCACACACTGATACGCCAGGGACAGTATACAGTGAACAGAGTCGTGCACACACTGATACGCCAGGGACAGTATACAATGAACAGAGCCGTGCACACACTGATACGCCAGGGACAGTATACAATGAACAGAGCCGTGCACACACTGATACGCCAGGGACAGAATACAATGAACAGAGTCGTGCACACACTGATACGCCAGGGACAGTATACAATGAACAGAGCCGTGCACACACTGATACGCCAGGGACAGTATACAGTGAACAGAGCCGTGCACACACTGATACGCCAGGGACAGTATACAGTGAACAGAGCCGTGCACACACTGATACGCCAGGGACAGAATACAGTGAACAGAGCCGTGCACACACTGATACGCCAGGGACAGTATACAATGAACAGAGCCGTGCACACACTGATACGCCAGGGACAGAATACAGTGAACAGAGCCGTGTACACACTGATACGCGAGGGACAGTATACAGTAAACAGAGCCGTGCACACACTGATACGCCGGGACAGAATACAGTGAACAGAGCCGTGCACACACTGATACGCCAGGGACAGAATACAGTGAACAGAGCCGTGCACACACTGATACGCCAGGGACAGTATACAATGAACAGAGCCGTGCACACACTGATACGCCAGGGACAGAATACCTTGAAGTCCACTCGTACTCTCACTGGTAACCGGCGAAGCGACCATGGTACTGGAGTGATACTGTCAACTTGCAGTATCGTTACAGTACGGGCTACAGTATTCTGCAAATTTGAAACTTATCATATTGTAATGTTTCCTTGATTTGACTTTAAAGGGTATTTTCTTTCTTCAAAAGGTGGCTTTTAGAAAAAAAAATCACAACTGTATGTAAACAATGCACTGAATAATGAATAAAACTGTCTAAGGATAGCGATTCTAAAGGTCCCCCGAGGGCTACGGTTGTGGTTGAAGGACGAAACAAGATTTACTGAAATAATATTACGCGTTGGATCAGTTCATGACCGCATATCAACATACGTCATAGCAGGAATGACGTCGTATGACATGGGATTTACTCTCCTATCGAGAGCTCGTTGAATAACTCATTATCTGTGCCACCGAGAGCAGACTTTATTCATACTACAGTCAGAGTCTACACATTAAGACTATACGCGTATTTCGTCAATTATAATCCTTTATGTCGGTTACAATGGGTTTATGGTTCAACGTGCAGGCATCGAATCCTAGGGGTAACAAACGATATGATCCGTGTCATGTGTGAACATACACCTACTCTGGATTGTCGCGGATGTAATGGGATATCTTTTATAATTGGAAAGTCTGATCACGTGATATGCAAATTAACTCTTTCATCACAACGTCGGCGTGTGAATCTGATTGTATATTTCTGGCGTGAAATAGACAATCTGTCATCTGTCAGGGCCACCTTCACAACGGCACTGTACAAATATAGTACTAGTGGCCTTAACCAGCGACACCTGGTCCATGAAGGCACAAGTAACTTTACCGACACGTCCACGTGACAGAATACAAAAAACAATTCTGTCTTCACACACACCATCTACAAATTTGCAGATGCATACTAGCACACACGGCCAACATTACTCCAACGCGGGTATTTCATTATGGGTGCCGTGGTTCCAATATTCAAACACGGTTTGTCATAAATGAGAGACACCATTAGTGGAACCTCAAACACAACTTTTCAGTATAATTACTCCTATGTTTAAGAGTCAGAAGTCAGTAGTTACCAGACAGGATGACGGAAGGAAAAGAGGGGTTCATTGTAGTAGTATGAAAGGTCTACGGCTAATTGAACCTCAAAACATGTGCATGAGGTGAGGTGAAATGGGGGTTTAACGTCGCGTCCAAGATTATTGCACTTAAACTGTGACGCGCACGTGCATGTGTGGTTGTGTGTGGCTGTTTGTACTAGTCCTGACTGATGCCGAGTTACAGTGCTAGCCCACTGAGATACCATGTCACAGTTTAACAAGAATACCCCACTCAGACACAGTATACTGAGTCCGAGCCAACCAGTCCTTGTTTTAGCCCCTTAATGCCGAGCACCAACGCTGTGATATAACTGGAATACTGTTAAAAGCGGCGTTAAACCCAACTCACTCACTCACTCACTAATGCCGAGCACCAGACAGGGTAACAACAAGTACCATCTTCTAACGTTTTTTGGTTTTGACGCGGCCGGGGATCGAACCCCAGGGCTTTTACACTAGACCACGGAGGCGGTCTACATGTATATGAAGTCGATCCATTCCCGATACTATTACATAGTCACGTTTTACCATCTGAATTGACACAGTGAATGATTATCAACACCTATCCTCTGAAATGCCATTTTGGGGAGTGGGTACGCAAAGTTGCCCGCCTTAACCGTGCCAGTATCCGCAACAATTAAGATTTTTGCATTATCTGCACCATACATGTACTGCTTGGTTTCATCAAATGGTAAGCGATTTGAGACGTGCTTTCCTCAAAGTTTACTACTGAAATACTGTTCCAAGCTGCTCTCAAGCCCATTCATTCACTCAATAAGACTATGTTACCCTCACGAACAGAACAAACGGGCGATGTCCAACTCCGGTACATTCTTTATGTGTGCCCTCTAACAACAACCGATAGTGGCAAAAACCAACTCTGACTCACTTCTACACAGAAAAACAAATAAGATTAAACGTGCTACCACTGTCGTGTTTATTGATGATGAAAAGAATACACTCTGTCTTCTAGTTTGCACAAAACATCCATCTGTTCCTAGACACCGCTCGGGTGGAACTTCACACTTGCTGCAAGAAGAAGTACACTTGTGAACAGTTTTGCCTGATAACATAGATTTATGCAGGAATATACAGGACGGGTAGTGTATAGCATGAATTTACATTACGTTTTTGCAGTAACTCTTCCCGCAAACATCCCCCCCCCCCCCCCCAAAAAAAAAAGGAGCATATATATATATATATATATATATATATATATATATATATATATATATGAGCATATATATATATATATATATATATATATATATATATATATATATATATATATATATATATTCCAAAATTAGTAGTAGTAGAAGAGAGCAAATATTTATAAATCGAAAAACAACCAATCAACCAATTCGCAAATTGTATTTTTTCTGGCCTTCGTTGCTTTGTTAAGAATGGATACATAAAAGTAAAACGCATTACTAACGAGATGGACCTACGGTAGGGTCCCAAAGTAGTTCGAGACAAGCGGAGTTAAACCAGTTGTATGGATAGGAATATTCCGTGAACATAGAAATGACGGTTTACAGGTTAATGTTCCCTCCTTCTAGTTGTATGAACGTACCAATTGTACATGTCTTGTCGTCCAGATCCTGTCTGATTGTGTCTAACGCCTTGTAGTCAGCTACTGTAAACACCCGGTCCTGGTCACCAGCAATACCTAGAAGCTCCTTCTGGGATAGGTTCAGGCCAACGCCAATGGCGAACATGCTGATACCAGCGTCTCTAGCCTTGGCCGCTTCCTTCTGAGTCTTCTCCCAGTCCTGAGACTGCCCGTCGGTCATCACGATGGCGATGTGAACTGCATGGGCACGTTGTTTGGGCAGCATCTGTTTCTCCCGCATGAACTCAATGCCTAGACCTGTGTCGGTGTAGTCGCCAGCGGTGTAGGGGATGCTTGTGATGGCGTCCACGACGCCAACCTCGTCGTTGTAAGCGTCGAGATCGAAGGCAGTGTTGTCATAGGTGCCACGACCGTAGGTGATGACAGAGAACCTTGCTCGCTGGGGTGAAACCTCGAAGGTAGTGACGAAGTTCTTGATGAAGTCCATCCCAAGGGTGAAGTTTTTGTCGCCAATACTTGACGAAGCGTCAATGACGAAGGAGATATCGATGGGGTTGTCACGGCACACTGTGTGGGAAAGACCGTGAACAGTTAAGTGAGTGAATGGGCCAGACATGTAGTGTTTGATCACTAATGACAAGATTGTGGGAATGGTCTGCAGCTAAGTATGGTAACGTAGTGTTAAAGTATGGGAGTTACACCACTCGTTCCTTTGAGGTTGTGTAGAAAGTGGTCACGAATGGGATTTCGCTTACCTACTGGTGGCTCCGGTGGGTTTTCTGCAACATAAAACATTACATCACTAGTATGGGCTATTTCAAGATATTTTTCTCCAGTGCAATATGTGACTGGTTTCACACGCGTATTAAACCTTATAACTGGAAATGGTCCAGTCTGTTTTCGTGAAGTCACAGAACTATAAATCTGTGTGTGTTTTTTTAAGAATGTTGAAAATATTGAAGCCACCTCTTTTTTAGTTCGCCTTTTTCCATTACACAATCAACAGCGGTACGGGTGGCGCCGTGCAAGTTGCCTCCCTTAGCTATGCCAGGATCCGCAGGTCGAGGGTTGGGATCAAATATTCGACCCCGTTAGGATCCTTTGTCAGCACCAAATCTATGCCAGTGGGATTCGCCAAAGTGGTAAACACACAGATGGCGTGTCGTTATATGACTAAAATAGTGTTCTAACGGCGTTTATACACACACACACGCACACGCACACACACACACACACACACACACACACACACACACACACACACACACACACACACACACACACACACACACACTAATGCATCAACGTACCATCGCATGTCTCAAAGGCGAGCCTGGACCTAATGGTACCGAGGAGGTTGTAGCTGGTAACGACAAACACGTGTTCATCCACGCCGGCGATGTTCCTCAGCTCCTCCTCTGTCACGGAATGGCCGACCCCGACAACAAACATCTCCACCCCGGCTTCTCTGGTGATACGAGCCTCAGTCTCCGTTACCACGGGTTTCTGGGAGTTGCCGTCGGTCAGGACGATGCAAACCTTTCTCAAGTCTTGGCGAGCTTGTGGAAGGAAAGTTTCCCTCATGTACTTGATGCCGGCCCCAGTCTCAGTAGCCAGACCAGCTCTGTACGGGATGTTAGTGATCGCTTTTTTCAGGTCCACATTATTGGTGTATTTATCAAAACTAAAAGCATCTTCTGTGTATACCCTGTCGCCATAGGAGACGACAGCCACCCGCACCATATCGGGTTGGACTTGGAAAATATCAACAAAATCTTCTACGAACCACAGTCCCATGGTAAAGTTGTCTGGCCAGATACTGGACGAAGCGTCGATGACGAAGGTAACATCCATTGGCTTCTGCCTGCATGCTACATGAAAGATTCAGGGTATAAACATTATAGTTCAGATATGCAGGCAGTATTCGATGCTAGGGTGTTTCATTTAAACTGTGACGTCAGTTTAAATTTCCCGGAATCGAATACTGACATACAAAAGGTTTCAGTAATTAACACAGTGCTGTATATGCAAACTCACACAGCTGTGCAACACTCATGACGGCATTGTGGAATGCGATGACGTCTTAAATAAATACAGAACGGACATGATGGCAGAATTTTGAGAACAATCGAATTTAGGAGAGTTTTCGGTCAATTATTTTCATACATATATTTGGGGAAGTGACGTTTTCTATTTCAAACTTGGGGCAGAAAATACATGATACAGAACGCAGTGACAAGTCCAGAAGATGATCATTATATTGCACAGTTGTAAAATAATGTATAAAACAATTATAGTGAACTTGATAAAATAGTAGCCTACCATAACCCGACAAGATCTTACATGCTGATTACACGTTGATGTATTTTGTTGTATCGAATTTTAGGAACCAGCACGAATTTTTCAGACAACGTGAAGAGAGTGAACTGATGATGTCAATAACATTCTGTGAAAATAATGATTGATTGATGATGTCAGGAGACTGCAGGGGATGGTCCAGTGATCGCTGGTGCAGAGCAGCGTAATTTGCCCTTGCCTAGATTCTCTGGTTCATGCTAGATGCTGATCCATGGTGTGTTGTCATCTGTCCCATCTGGGGTCCGCAGGAGTGACTGACATCTACGGCCTGCGCATCTTTCGGATTTCCTCCCACATGAAGCTGACACACCGCGATACAACTGGTATACTGTCTATAGCAGCGTTAAGCCTAACGCACTCACTCATAATCATACTCACCGCTTTCGCAGCTCCTGTAAAATAATTGAAATGTGTTCAAATTACATCGCCATTCAAGCAGTTGTTGAAGAGGTGATATGGTTTGTGACAAAGTTCATTTGCATGCGAATACTGTGATATGTACTGCAGAAAATATTGCCTGTATTTTTACTCAGTCATTAATTTCAAGGGAGCGAAAAGAAGGCCCTTTTCACACTGCGTCCTGTTAGTGACGGGGCTGTACTCACTTGAATTCCACGGCCGTTTCCTCCTGCCATGACGCGACCACCTGCAAGTACATCTGTATCCAGTGAAACCTCATTAACTCAAAGTGTGGGGGCTAAAGACTCATGCCCCTAGTACCCGTACTTCCGGTAGTGGGGGGCCAATATTAGACCATGGTTTCAATATGGAGTGTATTCGCAGCAACCGCACATACCAAAGAATATAATTAATCACTTTGCTCGTCCTACAAGTTTCAGGAATCTTAAATGTAATCAAGCCTTTGTGGTTTCGTGGTTTAAAAATAATATCAGGAGATTATTTCCTTTCTTTCATTTGCAAGATTCGGATGTCCAACTTACAACCATACACATCAAACTATTATTTCTATGTCTGTATAAGTTTGCAATATAAAAGTATCACAAGAGTTGATATAACAGTAACGTTCTGTCCGTCCATGAATTGCCTACCGTCACACGACACGAGTATAAAGTTGTTTTTTCTTACTAACCATACACCTTTTTATATTTAATTAATTTCATTCAAATCACATATTGAACATATCTGCGGCATGTCACAAATCCTTCTACAGTTCTTTTCAATTTATGAAATAATATAATCTTTACACCATCCTAAGTGTGTACGGTATTGTCTACTCACACAGATCGCCAGAATGATGACCTTCCCAAAGACACTGAGACCCATGGCTGCTGCTCGGTGGCGATGTCCAAATGGTAAGTAGGCGGACGGGGCTAGGTATTTATATGTCATCTAATAATGCCACCATTGACCGCCGCTCCCCGTTATTTACACTATATTTGTTCAGTGTCTAAATACATAATTACTAACGGACATTCCGTACAATAAAGTACTATGTAAATACACGTGTGACAGCAAATTGAAAGCGTACATATTAATTGCGTGGCATTACATTGCAATGCGATGCAGATGACCTTTCCTGCATATTTATTTTATAATTAACAGCTCACATATAACAAGTTTAAACTTTTTTTTGTACTTGTTCCTCTTTTCCCCTGTCGAAACTACCGTTTATGTGCATCGTAATTAAGTGGTATGAAGTAGCTAACAATACTATTATACTATTAAACCTACCACAGAGATACCACATTATACATTAAATACAGATGTGACAGGATCCGGTGATTATGAGTACATACACCACATTCGTCCTAAATCTGTCAGCATCATAGCTTGATCTAGTTACTATGGTCTGTGCTCCCACATTGTGCTAACACGTGCATACACCCCAACACCAAAACACTCACTCACTCACTCATGCATACACACCACACACACACACACACACACACATACCCCCCAACACACACACACGCGCGCGCGCGCACCCACACATTCAATCACTCACTCACACATACAGCCCCACACCCACCCACACGCGCGCACACCAAATCACTAACTCACTCACTCACTCACTCACTCACTCACACATACAACCCCACACCCCCACACACTCACTCACACATACACCCCAACACACTCACTCCCTCATACACCCCCCAACACACGCGCACCCCCCCCCCCCCCACCCACACACACACACTCACTCGCACATACACCCCCCTCACACACACACACATACACTCACTTCCCACTCACACATACACACACCCTACACACACACCCATACCCACTCACACATAAACCCCCACACCCCACACACACGCGCGCACACCCACACACTCACACACCCACACCCATACACCCACTCACACATACACCACCACACCCCCTACACACGCGCGCACACCCACACACTCACTCACACATACGACCCCCCCCCCCCACACACACACACACACACACACACACCAATTCATTAACTGACATATATATATATTTAACGGCGGAATTATTGATTTGTTCAGTCGTTGTCAGTCTCATCTTGACGATACAATATAGTCTCAAGTCATCCATACAGTGAAAAGTCCCACTGGGCGTGCTACTGCAATATAGGTAGACTATATTGTACACTGTGTTACAATGGTATGGCGGCAGGTTGACAAGTGCAGTGAAGGTGTCCTTGCACAGTTCCACCTGAAGATAAAGCCTGGATTCACCTTCATGAAGGTCAGGACCAGGTTAAATGGTCTTCATACGATTCGACTAACGTGATCGGGCTGTCAGGCTCACTGACTTCGTTGATGCATGTCATCGCATCCCAGTTGCAAGATGTCAATCACTGGATTGTCTGGTCCAGACTCGGTTATTTACAGACCGACGTGAAATAGCTGGAATCTTACTGAGTGCAACGTTAAAGAACAAATAAATATGTAATATTTAATAAATATGTAATATAAATCAAATGTGAAGGGAGGTACCATGTGTCACTGTCTGATCTAAACATGAGCGTTTTCTGATGTGCCTCGTCGTGTTCAAGATTTTTTCACCTATATAGCGACGTGCTTGTGTGGCTGTTTGTACTTGTCCGAACCTATACCGGTTTTCTCGTGCTAGCCCTACGACATACCATGCCGCAGTTTAACATGGATACCCCACTCATAGACAGTATACAACACCAAGACGACCAGTCCTTGTTTTTTATCCGTTTAATGCTATTGGTAAGGCGCTGCCAGGTTATCGAAGCAGCCGCTCTGTCCACTAGAGAACCCTGGGTGATGCGCACCAGACTTACAGAAGGCGTATTGTAGTATATATACATATATATAGATACACTGTGGACATTGTTTAGAAGCTGGCGGTCCTCCCCGGAGGTCCATGTCAAGTATGTACGCCGTCTTCCATCGCGTCTTCTAATTAACTGGGGACTTAGGTGACAGGGAGGCACAGAGTGGTTTCTGAACACACCTGCATGACTAACGTTTAGTCCCAGAAATAGAGTTATCTTATTTACAAATTGGTCTGAAGAAATATCTAAAAGGAGCTCAGAGCATTGATTAATGGACTAGCTCAATCATTCTAGACTGGAGTGGAACGTTATTAAATATTCTCTTGGGTTTGGGCTAAACACCGGCAAACAGACACCAGCAAATAGACACCGGCAAACAGACACCGGCAAACAGACACCAGCAAATAGACACCGACAAACAGACACCAGCAAATAGACACCGGCAAACAGACACCGGCAAACAGACACCAGCAAACAGACACCAGCAAATAGACACCGGCAAACAGACACCGGCAAACAGACACCAGCAAATAGACACCGACAAACAGACACCAGCAAACAGACACCGGCAAACAGACACCAGCAAATAGACACCGACAAACAGACACCGGCAAACAGACACCAGCAAATAGACACCGGCAAACAGACACCAGCAAACAGACACCGGCAAACAGACACCGGCAAACAGACACCAGCAAACAGACACCGGCAAACAGACACCGGCAAACAGACACCGGCAAACAGACACCAGCAAACAGACACCAGCAAACAGACACCGGCAAACAGACACCGGCAAATAGACACCGGCAAACAGACACCAGCAAACAGACACCGGCAAACAGACACCGGCAAACAGACACCAGCAAATAGACACCGGCAAACAGACACCGGCAAACAGACACCGGCAAACAGACACCGGCAAATAGACACCGGCAAACAGACACCGGCAAACAGACACCGGCAAATAGACACCGGCAAACAGACACCAGCAAACAGACACCGGCAAATAGACACCAACAAACAGACACCAGCAAACAGACACCAGGATACAGTGTTTGGAGTCTAACATTCATAGCATGGTATATAAAAGTTGCAACATTTCTAATAACAGTTTCATTGTTCACCGCCATAAGCATATTAAATTTAGCAAGAGTAGGATGTACAAAATACTTCTGTGGTAAATACTGAAGACGAAGTTCATCATAATCGTTACAAATTAATAAAAAATGATATTCATTCTCGACATATCTTTGGTTGCAACTATTGCACAATCTCTGCTCTCGTGGAGTATTAACGTATCTACCAGTCTCAATGTGGAGAGTGTGGGAGCTTCAGCGAAAACTGGGCTCGTGCAACACGAAATTTGTTGATAGTGATAGCAGACAAATACAATTCTAGACTAAATGAATTTTTGAAAGTGTATAATGGAACATTTTAGAACTATTTGCTAAAGACCAATGCCAATCCTGTTCGTAAGCAAATTTTAACCGATCTTCACATTCGGAAATAAGCGTCCTATTAAGTATAGACTATATAGTGACAAGTTTTATTTTATTTTAGATAGTATATGATACAGGCGTTAATTTCCAGGTACATGTTGTCTACCTTGCGACGAATCGAAACTTTCTCACCTTATAGGCATACACAAGTATGTGTGAAATTTTTCAGATGTCAAATGAAATGTTTCAATTGATGTGGGTACTTGTTTGCTCCCAGAGAACTAAATATGCTAAATATGTAATGTTTTGTTGACCGGGGCAATTATTAGTATTATTATTAGTAGTATTTGTCAGCGATTTTGTGACTGGGCTGGGTCCATCGGAATTTTATTCCGAGGTTAGATAAAGGGCCTATGCGACAGGGAACATCCGACAAGGGTAGTTAACACAATTGCATTAATTGCGAGCAAAATGTCATCTTTCAACAACCGATGTCGTGACATCTCTATCGTACACGCCCTGTGTGTTGACCTGTTAACAAGTGAATAACTTCGTTGGTGGGTCATTTTGACTATATAAACAAGAATTATGATAATTGTGTTGCAATTTCTGAGAGGATTTTTCCATCGTCGATTCATGTTTCCAACCATAAGTAAATACCTCTGTGAACTGTTTATGACGTAATTGGTTGGTTAGTCTTTGAGCATTGCTCATAAGTGGTTGTTGGTAATTATATGTCAGAATTAATCTGGCTACAGCTAATGATCGGCTCGTTGCACTGCCCCAGTCAGAGATGATGGCGATGCAGCATCTATTACCGAAAATTCATTTAGGAAACCTCTTTTTACCTTCGTGTTGCCATCAAACTAGTTTGTCTGACGATCACAATGAAAATCTTTTATGATTTACTTAAAAGAATTATATGCATTTGTTTATCTTTTATCAGTATTGAAAAACGGTATTTCGGAAGAACTACATGGACATTACACAAAAGCGGTCTTATTGAGTCCAATCCAAGTCTGGACGTTCCAAACAGTTCCATGTGTGACCCTGAGAGTCTTTGTGTAATGAATTCAAGAGTCATTAACTGCTTTATTGACAAAGATAGCAAACAAGGGGGCTTTAATAGAACTTTTTGGATTCTGTATATTGGCTCTGAGCGTTCTATATCTGTCAATGATGGTGACAACATCCTGCACACCTTGCCTGCCACACCGATGCTTTCCCTCGTACACCGAGCAGAGGACACTACTTCTGCTACTGGTATCACTTCCTCATTCTGAGGGAATGGCCATCGAAATTATAGTCCTTCCTTTTACTTACGGACATACTACTTTCATGTAGGATTATAAACGTTGCCACTAATATCGAACTGAACCTTGGAAGCTATAACATGTGCTATGTACTATTGGTTTGCAAACACATTCAGATAGGTATTTTCACTTTTATCTCTTCAATCATTTATGCTGCTGTTTTACATACACGACCTGATATGTATCTTAATATTTTCTCTAAACAGTGTTATAGAAATATTTTCGTTGATTGTATTTGAGAACTAATATGATAGCAAAGTAACTTTAAAAGTTAAGACGAATTTACATTGTGGAAAATGTAAACGCAAACATAGTATGTAAACTTAAATGTTTTTATCTCGTGAGAGAGTGAGCGAGTGAGACAATATTTCAATTACATAATATC